CCCGATCCCGATCGGGAATGAACTTCGCTCACCCTGATCCACCCCCGAATCGAGTGTGTAGGCATCGAATCATCCGCTGGGGGCGGGATGCACGAGCCGACCAAGGAACTCGCTACTGGTCCCCCTCGATTGTTGCCCCAAATGTCATCGATAGCCTCTGGCCCTTGGTTGGTCGAGATCGATAATACACTAAGTATGCCTAAGTCAACCCTTTAAACGAGCGTGCGGGCGCTCAGCCGGTCGGAGAGCCAAAATATGCAAGCCAAGGATCGACCCGATCCTACTTTTCATGCTGCCGATCTCGCTGCCAGTCCCTCGGTTCGACTGGGGCTTAGACCGGGAATATACCCCGTATGCCTAAGTCAACCCTCGAAATGACCATGCGAGCGTGGAACCGACCAGAAGGGCAAGATGCGTAAGCCGAGGATCGGCCTGGTCCCTCTCTATGTGCTGTTATCGATCCGGCTACCTGTCCAATCTTAGACTGGGAATGAACTTCGTATGCTTAGACTGAGAATGAACTCCGTATGCCTAAGTCAACCCATGAAATGAGCGTGCGAGGGCTCAGTTGGCCGGAAAGGCATAATGCATAAGCCGAGGATCTATCCGGTCCCCCTCTGCGTGCTACCGATCCCGCTGCTGGTCCAACTACCACAACGTCGGTCCGGTTCGGGCTTAGACATGGAATGAACTCCATATGCCTAAGCTAACCCACAAAATGAGCGTGCGGGCGCTCGGCCGACTGGAGAGGTAGGATGCGCAAGCCGGGGATCGGTCTGGTCCCCTTCTGCATGCTGCTATCGATCTCGCTGTCGATCCGATCTTAGACTGGGAATGAACTCCATATGCTTAGACCGGGAATGAACTCCCTATGCCTAAGTCAACCCACGAAACGAGCGTGCAGGAGCTAAGCCGGCCGGAGAGGCATAATACGCAAGCCAGGGATTGACCCGATCCCCCTCTACGTGCTGCCAATCTCGCTGCTAGTCCAGCTGCCACAACCCTTGGTCCGCTTGGGGCTTAGACATGGAATGAACTCCGTATGCCTAAGTTAACCCACAAAATGAACGGGCGGGCACTACGCCGGCCGAAAGAGGCGAGATGCGTAAATCATGGATCGATCGGGTAGTAAGTGGGTTTAGGCACATCTTTATATTTCTGGCGTGCCAATGCCATTTTTATGCTTGTAAATTCATACAATGGTCCCCTAAGCCTTCATTAGAAGTTTCATGGTCGGATGATCCGTTTTCTATTTTTCACGATTTTTGAAAGTTTTTACGGTTTGAGATTTTTTAAAATTTTTTTAGGAGTTTTGGCCCAACTTTTGTAGATGTGATCCTTCTATTTTTGTTGGCATGCACAAAACAATTCAGCTAAAAACTCGATGTGGAGAAGATTTTGTGACCATTTGAAAAAAGTGTCTCCATTTCAGACACTTGAATGGCTACTGACAGCAAATCTGTAAAATCTCAAATGCTCTTTAAGGGGGTGTGAGTTCTTGAGGTTTGATGAGGGATAAGGGCTAAGTACCAGCACCCATCGCACATCATGTGCGCACACCCCTCGACCCCCTATCATCGGAACCTCAATGCCACCGGTCAGGTTCTCCGACGATGCTCCGATGATGCTGCCCCGAGCAAAAAAAATGTGGCACCAGCACATGCTCGAGCCCAGCATGTGCAATGTGGCTTAAAATCAAACTTTGGCCAGGGCCTCGACCATCAATGGCACATGATGGTGCATGGTGATGGCACATGCATCGACCATCACCGGCACAGGCTGCCCTTTGGTATGGGCACTTACCTCGATAGCCATCGACACAAGCTGGACCTTGGTACGAGCGGTTACTTCGATCACCATTGGCATGTGCTGGCCCTTGGTACGGGCGGTTGCCTCACCACCATCGGTAGAAGATGGGCCCTGGTGCGGGCGGTTACCTCAGTCACCATCGGCACACACTAGCCCTGGTACGGGCAGTGCGAGCGGTTGCCTCGAGCACCATTGGCACATGTTAGGCCATAGTTTGGGCGGTTGCCTTGATCACCATCGGTACACGCTAGGCCCCGGTGCGGGCAGTTGCCTCAAACACAATCGACACACGCTCGGCCCTGGTGCGGGCTGTGCTGGGCCTTCGTGCGGGAGGTTGCCTCGATCACCATCGGCACGTGTCGGGGCTTCATGTGGGAGGTTACCTCGAGCACCATCGGCACAAGTCGACCCTTGGTGCGGGCTCTTACCTCGACCACCATTGGCACAAGATGGCCTCCGATGCGGACGGTTGCATCAAACACCATTGGCATATGCTGGGCCCTGGTGCGTGTGGTTGCCTCGAACACCATCGGCACAAGCTGGGCCCTGTTGTGGGCAGTTACCTCGAGCACCATCGGCAGAAGATGGCCCCTGGTGCGAGCGGTTGCCTCGATCACCATTGGCACACTCTAGGCCCTAGTGCGGGCAGTTGCCTCGACCAGCATCGCCACAAGCCAGCCCTTGGTGAGGGCTCTTGCCTCGACCACCATCGGCAGAAGATGGACCCTAGTGCGGGCGGTTGTGTAGAACACCATCGGCACACACTTGGCCCTGGTACGGGCGGTTGCCTCGAACACCATCAGCACAAGCTGGCCCTTGGTGTGGGCTCTTGCCTCAACCACCATCGGCACACGCTGGACCCTGGTGCGGGCGGTTGCCTCGAGCACCATCGACACACATTGGGCCCTGGTGCAGGCGGTTACCTCAAACACCATCGACACATGCTGGGCCCTGTTACGGGCGGTTGCCTCGATCACCATCGGCACATGCTGGGCCCTGGTACGGATGGTTACCTCGAACACCATCGGCACACACTGGGCCCTGGTGCTAGCGATTGCCTTGAGCACCATCGACATACGCTAGGCCCTGGTTCAGGCTATGCGGGTGGTTACCTCGAGCACCGTCGGCACACGTTGGGCCCTAGTGCGAGTGGTTGCCTCGAGCCCTGGTGCAGGGCAGTTGCCTCGAGTCCTGGTGCAGACAGTTGCCTCAAGCACGATCGGTACACGCTGGGCCCTGGTGTGGGTGGTTGCCTCGATCACCATCGGCACACGCTGGGCCCTAGTGCGGGTGGTTGCCTCCAACACCATCAGTACATACTGGGCCCTAGTGTAGGTGGTTACCTCGAGCCCTGGTGTGAGCGGTTACCTCAAGCACCATCGACACATGATAGGCCTTGGTGCGGGCGGTTGCCTCGAACACCAACGGCACACACTGGGCCCTGGTGTGGGCGGTTGTCTCGACCACCATCGACAAAAGATGGCCCCTGGTACGCGCGGTTACGTCGAACACCATTGGCACACATTGGGCCTTGGTACGAGCGGTTGCCTCGACCACCATCAGTACGTGCTGGGCCTTGGTGTGAGAGGTTGCCTCGAGCACCATCGGCACAAGTTGGCCCTTGGTGTGGGCTCTTGCCTTGACCACTATCGGTAGAAGATGGCCCTTGGTGTGGGCAGTTGTGTCGAACACCATCAGCATACGCTGGGCCCTGGTGCGCGCAGTTGCCTGGAACACCATCGGCACACGTTTGGCCTTGGTGTGGGCGGTTGCCTCGAGCACCATCGACAGAAGATGGCCCCTGGTGCGGGTGGTTGCCTCGAACACCATTGGCAAACGTTGAGCCCTAGTGCGGGCAGTTGCCTCGATCACCATTGGCACACGTTGGGCCCTAGTGCGGGCGGTTGCCTCGACCACCATCGCCACAAGCCGACCCTTGGTGCGGGCTCTTGCGTCAACCACCAATGATAGAAGATGGCCCCTGGTGTGGGCGTTGCGTCGAACACCATCGGCACACGTTGGGCCCTGGTATGGGCAGTTACCTCGAGCACCATCGGCACACATTGGGCCCTGGTACTGGTGGTTACCTCGAACACCATTGACATACACTGAGCCCTATTACGGGTGCTTACCTCGATCACCATCGGCACATGCTGGGCCTTGGTGCGGGCAGTTGCCTCAAGCACCATCGACACACGTTGGGTGTCATGGTCAGGCCTTGGTCCTGCCATGACTGACCCTGAACCGAGCTGTGACTGAGACCGAGCTATCGGGAAAGCCGTTCTAAGGAATACGGGCGTGCATTTGGAGCTTTGGAACATGATGCTAACATGTTGTGGGGGCAATGGGAGCCCTAGGCGTTGAGATACACGGGGAAGTTCGAGATAGTGGTTGGACACCCTCAAGTCGAGTAGCCTGGTGGGTGCCATCTATAGAAGCAATGTACGGGCATTCCGAGCATGGGAATAGGTTGGGGACATTGTGTGTGGACAGTCCATGTCCTAAACCCCGAGATATGCAGGTAAGTATAAGGTAAGTATGCCAGTGCCCTAGAACCAGCTAGCCATTCAGGTGCTGTCGGTCTAAGCCATGTGCGGCACCTTCAAGTGGGTTGGTGGAG